CAGGCTTCACAGAGGAGAAGGAACATCAAAGTGAAAAAAAAGTCGAGACGGGGGGGGGCAGAAGATTGTTTCAAAGATGGAGGTAGAAAGGTGAGGTGAGTACTGTGAAATTATTATTCGAATATGAAATGCAGTGAGGTCTTGGTAGTTTGAAGTGAGAAGTCAACTGCCAGTTAATAGACTTTTTTGCCGTATGAATATACGTTGCCCAGGGTGCACCACGTGGAGGTAAGTCTATCGCACACCCTAAGCTATAGACTATAAAACTCCTGATCTTAGCACTTTTTCCCTTCTTAAAATTGACCTAATTCTAGAATTCAGACGCTAACCAGCAGTAATGAGTACTAGTCAGACGAATGGAGGCTTCAAATAATTTTCTGTCTCCCTAAAAATGACGATTTAGCTCAACTGAAATTTTCAAAACCTATGATTTAATTTTGCCTTTTCTCAATTGATGCCCTTAGACCAAAGTCATTTGGTACTACTGAAAATCTATTTTGAGGTATATGAAAAATTATAGCAGTACAACATTAGACCCCGTGAAAGTTTAGAGCTTCTCTTTTTGATGCAGATGAATGATGAACACAAATCAGAATCGCTAAATTACATGACTGAGCCAAGTGTCCACTTCAATTCCTCCCTGCTCTTCCATAGGAATGGACATGAATGGAATATTTAGCACCATAGGAATTATTCGACTGACCTAATAGTAGAGGGCAATTGTTTCGAATAATTATCTACTCTCCTTTATTAGTTTCCACTTGTCCTTGCGTTTTAAGTTGACTCCCTGGTTGAGAGTTTTTCTGCACTCTAGTGTCAATATGCTAATATATTTTATTTAAATGAAATTACTACGCATCTGAGAAGCGAAAATATCTGAATACTAATTTAAATGACCAAATTCAAGCCACATACGAAGAATATATGGTTGTTTGTCCTCTGAATTAAGTTCTAGAGGGAACAAGGAGGGGGAGACTGGGCGTTGAGCTAACTTAATTTCCCACTTCTATTCAATCAACTATTAAAACTCCTAAAACATGGATGTAAAACCGGTCTCTCGTAAGTCGCTTCTAAAGTCAAATAAAACAACGATTAGATTATGTGTTAACGTGAGTAGAATTAGTAGAAAAGTATAAAAAGAGCATATTGTTCCTGTAGTGTGCACCCATAGGTACAGATACAAACAAGAGAGGAAATTGGATCGGTTTACTGATACATAAAAATCGATGAGCATAAGATGGTGATTAACAATCTTCTAAGCGTCTGAAGTCAATAAAATAGGATCAAGCTGTCAGATTTATAAGTAGAGCGTACTTTCAACCTCAGGTTAGGAAAAAGTACTCTTTGTTTCATGTGTACTTTTTCAGCTTACTTATGGGTTTTACGCCACGAGTAATACGCATTTTCTGAAAATAAACTTACTTTTATCTCTATGCGTGAGGTCTCCAATAATAATCTGTGCGGGAACGTGTTCGGACGCATTTAGCATACTTTAGTGGATTAATAGAAGAAAAAGAAATGTCCTTTATAGTGCTCTTTCGCTATGGGTTATTTGTGACTTACTCTTTACCCTGAGTGCTCTTAAACAACTTAAGGTAAGAGGGTACCCACAAAGCAACGGCATCTATTAGCGGTGAAATTTCAACTCAGAAATTGACTTGTAGGAATCCTTTGATAGGTTAGCATTAGTTGTTTCAGCTTAGCTTCTATTATCAAGAGAGGGTTGTCTCTACTCTCTTATATTCAATCTCCCTTTGGTGTAAATTAATACTATATATTTAATAGCTGTATGGACTGTATAAAATGACGATGATGGACCCATAGCGTTAAGGCAAAGTTAAATTTTCGAACCTGTCAAGTGGCGAAAGATTTCCATTGAAGGTCAATTCGCACGAATTAAAAATTGAACTTCGCGTTGACGTCCATTTACTTCTACTCGAAATTCACAGATAGGCTAGAAGCGTAAAAATAACATATTTACCTATTCTTTCTCTATTAAGTTGGTCTGAATTAGTTCGACACCAAGACGAGGAGAAGAGGAGCCGTTCACTTGCTTCTAGACCAGAAGCATCACTATCGCTTTCACCCCCTGAAGTCAGTAAGAGAAGTATCAGTGGAGTGACAGCACTGCGGTTATCACTTGATCAACAACGGCGGACAATTGAGGCCAATCACCAGCGAGTTCTAAGGCAAGGAGGTCGTGCTGCTGCTCGACGAAATCAGGCGGCTTTCAAGGCTCTTCTACACTCCTCACAGGTTCTTTTCTCGTTCATTTCTTCGTCTCATTAAACTGACTCCAAGTAGTTGTCACTTTGCTATAGCTTGTTCTTAGCTTTATTTAGGACGGGACAAACGAATCTGCTTGGTTAGATTCCTTTTTTTCCGCCTTTTCTAGTTTTTAATTGTTAGTTCAGCAAACTTCTGTATGGCATTAAAACTTAACTCAGGGTCGTTCAAAATCACCCATTTTGACGTTAAACAAATCCTGTTAAATAGAAACGGGCGCCCGTCATAATAATACGTCGAAAGACTTGAAGAAATAACCAAATAAAGTGATTTGACTGAGAAATAGCTTACTATTGAAGCGCAGATTGCGAGAATAATTTACTTATAACAAATGGCAG